TAAAATAAAATATATATGCAAAATAAAAAGATGCAAATGCAGATAAAAAAAAATGTTGACCCCAACGATGAATATCATAGAATAGTCTTCACCAGAAATAAAAGTTTTCACATTACAAGGCAATCCAATTTACAAACATGTCTTCGCTTAGATGGTGAGCCTGGAATGGATCACTGCTTCATCTCGGATCTTCGTCCTCAATAATGATGCCCCTCAAGCGCTCTGTAATCTGACTCCGTTAATGCCTCGGTGGTAGTGAGGTCGGTGTGTCGCTCTTTGATAACTAGCAATGAAATGATTGTAGATAAGACTCCACTGCTAGATTACTCCTTGAATCAGTGGATCATCATCTCAGTATTAAATGATGCACGATCTTCGAGCTCACTGCTTCGTCTCGGATCTTTGTACTTGGAACCGATGCCCCTCAATGCTCTGTAAACTAACTCCATCAATACCTCGGCTATGCTGAAGTTTGTGCTTCACTCCCTGATGGTTAACGATGGAATAATTGTGGATGAGAATCTACTGCTGGATTATTCCTTAGATCAGTAGATTATCATATCAGTCTCGAATGATGCACGATATTCGAGAAAATCTCATTCTTGTACTCTGGACTTCTTTTTAGCCCTCGATGCATGTCTGTGTATGCGATCGCTTGATTGAAAACTTTTATCTCTTCTTGTGAAAATTTTCTCTCGAATATCCCCTCACGGATCAACACTTTTGCATTATGATGATGCAATGCAATGCAATGCAAATGACAAAATGACACAAACAAAAGAGAAGAAATAAGTTAGTATACACAAACAAAAGAGAAAAATAAGTTAGTATACACAAACAAAAGAGAAAAATAAGTTAGTACATGTAAAATAATTGATAAAAATAAAAATGTAATTCAGAGATGGATATAACACCTACCCCCGTCATGATATCTACCCAAACATGCTTTCAATTAAATAACAATCCTACCCGGACATGCTAGCTACCCAAAATGATCTATTTTCAAGAAATTGGTCCTAACCGCATGGTATCTAGTTCGCATGCTTTATTCGGAAAAAAAAATATTCTACAAATTTAAATGGTTAAGGTTTAGAATCGTTCCTCCTTCGTGTACACCTATTTTGGGTACCTACTGACGAACAAAGGTTCGGTATGACTATACCTAGGGTGATCGTTCGACGGTTCACTATATGCTTGGTTTCGGCTCTAACGGGAAAAAAAAAGGACTCGAATTGTCCTTGATGTCAGTGCCCCCTTGGGCTGCCAGACCCTCAATCCTTACCCATTACAGGTTTCAAATGGACCGAGTTCAATTCGAGGGGATTCACTGCCTTATACCCATACGAGGAATAAATTCCTACGAAGGTATAAGGTATGTATCCCATGGGTTATTTGCTAAAACTCATACGAAGAATAAATTCTTACGAGAGTAAAGCATTCACCCCAACTAATTTGGATCGAAGCTCGTGTCTAGAGCTTATGTTATGCCAATGCGAGTGATGTGTGTGAGGAGGAACATACTTACCTTCGACTCAAAAGGAAAACAAAACAAGGAAAAATGATAAAATCATGACAAAGCTGAAAGCCAAATATAAAATGTTAGTACGACAAAAAAAACGACAATTAAAAATTTCAATAAACGGATCATAAATTAACTAAAACTAGAAATCATAATTTCCACCAAGATGACAATATGTAAACGACATACAGCCTGACTCTCTAAAAAAAGTCCCCAGCGGAGTCGCCAAGCTGTCATAACCATTTTTTTTGTAAAACAATTAAATATTATTTTAAAAACGATTACGACTTTAATTTAGAAAATTGGTGATTATGAATTAATTAAAATTAAATTGAAAATGAGTCGCCATCGACCTTTGGGTTAGGTAGGTCGAATACCTAAAAACGTCTTTTAAAAACAATTTTAAGAAAAATAGTTTTATAAGACAAAAATTTGAACTACGTTACCAAAGATTCATTTAAAACAGGTTCGGGAGTCGGTTACGTGTGGGGAAGGATAAACACCCCTACAACGCCCAAAATTGGTACTGTGTCGCTTACACATCGTTGTAAATGGTGGAATTTATGAGTCGAATATAAAGTTAAAATGTGATCTATTTATCGAACGTTGATTAATTTGCTTCGAATTAAATAATTAGAGAAAATTCTTTAACTCGAAAAGAAATCTCGAAATTAGCAATCCTCCATCGGGAAAGCTAACTCGACTATTTCTCATCCATAAAGAATATTTCCCTCCTGATAAAATGTGAATCGAATATAAATAAAATTGACGTTTGCATACAACAAAATAAATTGATTAACTAAAAATGTGAATTGAATACAAATGCAAATTTTGAAATTGACATTTACATAAAATAAAATAAATTACTATTTAAAATAACACACATTGCATCATTTGCACAAATTAATTAGTGATATATACTCGACTTGTTGCAAGTTCCTATGTCATTAAAATGCCGTATCGGATCGCACCACTTCGACCAAGTGATACTTTCCACGCTCATTCTACGCATACGTGTTCTTAAAAGTATTTGGACAATATTCAAATAAAGAAAAATGGAAATAAATAGAAATAGAAATATGTGAAATAAATATTTACAACAAATAAAATTAAGCATATTTAATTACATATGGTACAAATAAATACATAACATGAAAAATGTACATACATAGGGGATTAAAAGAATGTTACAACCCAAAATATAATGGTCAAAAAGTAAGTATTTAATAATTACAATGACTAACATGGTAATAATAAATTAAAGGGCTAAAACAGAAAAATAGAAAATTAAAAGACTAAAATGGCAAAAACAGAAACGTAGGGACTAAAATAGTAATTAAACCGAATGCAAACTAGTGACTAAAATAAACAGATTTACAAATCTTAGAGTCAAATTTGAACATCAGCCAAAATATACAACATACAAAAATCAGTGACTAAAATGAAACTAATACAAACATTGTGGCCAAAGTAAAATATGAGTATAATAATATAACATGGGTTAAAATGTAAACATGCAAACATGGCAAACCATAACGCAAATAAAATAAAATAACTAAGCTTTATAGACAAGTGACTAAACTGTGTAAATTGAAACTACAGTATCAGAAACATAAAATAGAGAAACTAGATTAATCAATGGCTACAATAAAACAGAACAAAATCAGTGGTCATTTTAGAATAAACAGAAACTTAAAGATTCAAACAGTAATTACACCAAATACCAAACAGTGACTAAAATATAAGAAACATAAATATCATGGCCAAATTCTAACATTCACAAGAAATAAACAACACATAACCAATGACTAAATTGAAATAATTATAAATACTATGGCCAACGTTCAACATTAATAATAATAATAAAACAAACAAGTACCAGACCAAAATACCAATATTGAAACATTAAGGCTCGAAATAAAATAAATATAATTTTATTTAATGACTAAACCGTGAGGTTACAAAGCAGAAAGGACTAAAAGTGGGATTATCCCTTTTAATATGAGAAACACGGGTAAGATGTTACAAAGATGCGAGGACCAAATAGGCTATTTACCCTTTCATGCTGAAACACGCATACCCTGAACCCCTAAAACGGCATCGTTTCGGTTTGGAAATATAAGCCCAAAACCGGCTTATTTCCTTCCCCATTTCTCATTTGGTTTTAATTAATAAAACAGAGGGAGAGAGAGAGTTTCAGAACTCTCTCAACTCCCACGTAAGAGAAAAGAAATAACACCGTCGCCGGTGGCGCTCACGGCGGCGACGACGGCGGCGCACGGCGGCCGGAGATGCCCAACAACCCTCAAAAGAAACATCTCAACCCCTACTACTCAAAACCCCACTCCACTTTGCCTAAACACTACCCCAGTCTCCTAAATCTACCGATTTACCTCTCGAAACAACAAGACACGATGACCTTTGAACTCCTTGCATGCCTTCGCCGAACCTCCCTCCTCGGTAAGCTTTTCTCTTCTCCCTTTTTCTCTCTGTTTTCTTTATATTTTCTTTTTTTTGTTCTGAAAACTCCCCCCATCTCATTTTTTTTCTTTTCTTTGAACCCCCTCCTCCCTCTCACCGAATCCTCCTCTCCCTCATAATGGTTGCCTGTTGGACTTTTAAGGGTTCTTTCGGTGATAATGATATCTAAGGCTTAGGGAAATTATGGGTTGTTGATTTAGGGTGATTGAATCCCGGATTTTCGGGATTTTCGGGATTTTTATTTAGATTTATTTTTGTTTTTTTATTGGGGTTTTTCTCTGATTTGCTGATTGATTTGGTATGTTGTCACTGTTGACTGCTTGAGGGATGGGCTCTGATCGGCTCGGGAAGCTTTCGACGATGGCTCGTCGACTGGGAAACTGGACGGTGTAGTGCACGCGTGACTGAGGAAACTGGAACTCACTGGCGGCAGTGGCTTGATGGCTGTTGGCTTGAACGGCTACTGGAACGTTGAAGAGGCACGACGGCTGGATTGGCTTAGGGTTGTGAAACCCTATTTACCATCGATCTGGACCGTTGAATGGGTCCAGATCGAATGGTCTATGTTGGTGCGGCGCTGGGATGTTGATACCCTAAGGTTAGGGTTTGCAATCGGGCTGCTGAGTGATGGGTATGGGCTCGGGTCAATTGGGCTTCGTTTGTTGGGCATGGGTTGGCCTGCAAAACAGTGTAACATGTAAATTGTAAGTTAAATAATAATAATAATAATAATAATAATAATAAATATATAAATGATAATAATAAAAAAGACCCGGACAAAAACGGGTGTCTACACTTAGTCTTTCATTAGATGAAGGAAACAAGGTTTGGTCGAGTTTCTCTACCCGATCATGAAGAATTCAAAGAGATTTCATAAGTTTTCTAGTCTTCTTTTCTCAGTAATTCAACCTTTGATGTCCAAAAAAATTTCCCCTTTTTTGTTTCTCTTTATTAATCATCCTTATCATATGGTAATCGAGTTGGATGAGGATTGAAGCAGGCCATTGAAAGGAGGAGAGCTCGAAGCGAAGGCCTAACAATACCTGAGGATGAAGGGGGTCTTAGTTCAAATGTATCATCTGGTGTTCAACTTGAACACAATTTCTCAACTCCAGCTTCAACCGCCAGATTGAAGCCTTGCCCTCTATCAGTCCCTGAAGTGTCGAAAATTTTGCTCGGCGGCATAAACATGAATGCCGAGGAATCGGAGCTTCTTACGCCTCAAAAGAAACTCTTGAACTCCATTGACACTGTGGGAAAGGCTGTCATGGAGGAGCTACAGAAATTGAAGAGGACCCCCAGCTCAAGAAAGCAGAAAGGCAAAAGAAAGTCCGCACACTGATGTCAATCCGGTGATCTCTACTGCATTTGGATCAGAAAGACAGCATCAGTGAGGATTTCCAGATATTTCAACACTTGGAAATTAGTCTATTATTACATAGCATACACGATTTCCATCTTTCATTTATTTTAACAAAAGTCATTAGTGTAATAGTAGAAGATTTATGTTATTACCACAATGAGTGTTGATGTATAAGTGGTTAAGATTCAGGAATTTGAACTTGTAAAACAAGTTTGAACTCTATCATTGTCACTTTTCGTGGATAATCTGTAAATTTATATGTAAATACCAATAGGTTTTAAGTATGCTTCGACCTTGGATTGGGGAGCCACCTAACCTAAACTCTTTTGTGCAAAAAAAAAAATTATGTTACTATTATTAAGTTTTCGGTTGAAATCTAACCTTAGGTAGTTAGGTTCCAACAATATATTTATAGGCTATATTTATATGTATATATGTTTATATATTCTTCAAATTTTGTTCAACATGCATTATGGATCCAGGGTTTCTCATGTGTAGAGATGCACAGAAGCCGGATTTCAATCTGATCCGGATCGGATAAAAATCGATCCGGTTTTTTCCCCAACCCAAAAACCGGATTTTAAAAAAACTGGTTCGGATCCTAACCGGTTTGGAGGGTCGGATGGTGTAACCGGTTTTAGTTTGCAAAAAACCGGTTTTTAAAAAAAAACCGGATTTTTTCGAATAAAAATCCAGTTTTTTTAAAAAACTGGATTTTTTTTGGATAAAAAACCAGTTTTTTATCTGGTTTGAAAAAAACTGGTTTTTAATCCGGTAAAAAAACCGGTCGTTCAATTTTTTCCCAAACCGGTTATACTATCCGGTTTTTAAATATCTGATCCGGTTTAAAAAAACCGGTTTTTCCAAATCTGGTTTCGGATATTTTTTATCCAAAATCGAATATTCGAATTTTTTGTGCACCTCTACTCATGTGTATGTTGTGTATCTGAGGCTGAAATTTCTAATTTTCTGCTTTTGTCATTGTCTATTTCGGTAAAAAAAATTGTTGTCATATTCGCTGTTTTATTTTTTATGAATATCATAAAGGATCCTCTTAAATCAAAGTTTGGAAATACTATTTTAATGCTTATTATATTTACATTTTAATAGTAATTATATAAATAAAATAATATTTTAATATCATTTCCCACGTAATATTGCATTTTAAAAAGTAAATAATATTAAAAATATGTCAAAATGATACAATATTGTTAATGACATTATTCCCAAAGCCCGTTTTTATTATTCCCAAAATACAATTAAAACAAAATTAAACTTAGCCCTTAATATTTTCAAATCACAATGAAACCCTCCCTTATTATTCCCAAACAAAACATTATACGAAGCAAACCGATCAGAAGCAAAAAATTCTCTTTTTCTATGTAGAAAATTCTCTCTCGTTGCGAAAAAAATTTCTATCATTTTTATGGAAACCATTTTTGGGTGATTCAAAAATAGTCATTGTAAATATATATATTTTTAAAATGGGAATCGTCATAAGTCGTTTTAGGTTTGGTATGACCGAATACCTTTAAATTAGGTATACGTTTAAAATCGATAAAATAAGTTTCGAGAGTCGATTACGTGTGAGGAATGTTAGAGTATCCCACAATTCCAAAAAATTGATATCTTTAGAAAATACATAAAGTTCATTTGGAAAATAATTACGAATACAATGTAACTAAATTTAATGTCACATGTGTATACAATTTTTAAAGAAATATAGTAAACCTAGTTTAGAAGCAACAATTTATGTTTGCACTCATTTAAAAAGAAGGTCCACATCATCTAAGGAGGATGTCACTCTATTACATACAACTAAAAATGTCGCAATCCAACCACTTAGGACACTACTTTTAGCCGACATAACAAAGTAACATTGCCTGAAATTTTTTAAAAGACGAAAACAATTTCCGTGTAATGCAATTTTAAAAACCATTACCACGAAGAAGATCACATCATTATTAGTCACATATAAAAATAATAAGAAATGACTAGGCATAAAGACTAACAAAGAATGAAAGTCTGATTTATTAATCAATTTCGAATTATGTCTAACTTGAAACTAATTAAGAATTTTAAACCACATCTGATAATTAGGGGTGAGCATTCGATCGAGTCGAGTAAAAAAATTCAAGTTGTTCGAGTTGACAAATCGTAATTTACAACTCGAACTTAACTTGAATTTTTTTTCGAGTTGAGTTATTCGAATCGAGTTATTCGAGATTCTATACTAATTTTATTAGAAATTATTTTGAGGGTAGAATATTGATGAGATTATAAAAGAGTCAAGGAATTGAAGGGGAAAAAAGAATCTGTAAACAATTGTAGTCAAAAGACCAAATTGGTTAAAATGAAAAGTTAAGGGACTAAATAAAAAAGAGACTACAATTTTAGTAAAAAATTAAGAATTGAAGTTACATATGTATTCTATTGTGGTATATGAGCATGTGGTTCAAATTTAGTAAACAATGACTTAAAATAAATGATGAATCTAAAAAATAAGGAAAATATGAAAAATTAAGGGGATAAATTGAAAATAAAAAAAATTGTTATATAAAAAGAGGAATTGAAAGTACATATGTATTCTACAATGGTTTATGAGCATATATTTAAATTTGGTAAAATATTAACTTAAAATGAATGAGGAATTGAAGGAATATTGAAATTAGAGACTAAATCGTAAAACTGTCAAAATACTTATTCAAATATTTAGTTTTTCGAGTAACTCAAAATTTCAACTCAAACTTGAAAACCGAATTTATAATTTGAGTTGACTCGAATTACTCGAATCGAATAACTCAAAATTGATTTTTTTCGAGTCGAGTCGAGTTTTGCTCACCCCTACTAATAGCCATCTTAAATTTATGGATTAAATTGAATTAATTAAAACTAGGCCAAAGTTCATTAATCAATTTTGAATCATGAACATAATGAGAATCAATTAAGAAATTAAAGTTAAATTTATTAATAAATTGAATTAATCAATTACAAATTTATTAATCAATTGCAAACTAGCCTAATTGAATCTAATTATGAAATTTAGATCAAATTAATCAACACATACTAAATCAGGGACCTAATTTAGAAAAATAGAAAATAAATGATCAAAAAGATAAAAAAATGCAAGTTAGGGCTCAAGTGAATTGCACATAAAGTTAAAGGACTGAAACGTAAATTTATCCATATAAATGAAACACCTTATTCCTTCTCCGGATGAGTGAGCTGTGGTTCTTCCAAAGGCCAAAATGATACCGCCCATAAAACCACCTTTCATTTCTTCAATTTTCAATTTTTATTTTATGTTTTCCCTCTTCATATTTCTCCTCTCCCTCTCTACAAATTCAAACGGTCTTTCCATCCCTCATCCTCACCATCATTACTGGCTGACCGCTATCGTCGGTGTCCGTTTGTCATCAAAATGCACAGGAAGACTAATCTCGGGCTCCTGACCACGATTTTGGGATGATTTCTCCGGGAAATATTTCATAGTCATCCAATTTAAAGTCAAACATCTCAAATTCTCTTATTCGATATACCAAAATCTGTCGTTGGACCATTATTAGTCTGAAATATGTTGCTACTTCGTTTCCAAACTTCACACCGTTCAAATTGATGTAACAAATCATCGATCCTCGATGAGCATCGTCGCAGCAGGATTTCCAGTACCTATTCCAAAGTATTGTACCGTGACTTAGTGGGTATGTGTATTCATATGACCTTTATGTATTATAATTCCTAAACTTTGAGTTGTATTAATTAATTTAAAATGTGTCATAGAGCACCACTTTATAAAAATGATTTTATTATCGTTTTGAATTATTGATTTTTAAATCATAATTATGAGTATTGATTTCAAAAAAATTGTTAGCCACTTTTGTGGTTCCGTGTGAAATTTTGAAATACGTTTATGAAAAAATTGGTTTTCGCTTAATCAATTTTGAAATGTTCAAACATTAGTCCTAATGGTCATAAAATGACATGCATATCTCCCCCTTAACTTATGACATGAATTCGAGATGATTAAAATTCAATATAGATTATAAGGACTTTATAATCTATTTAGAATCATGCTAAAATGGGATCATGCTAAAACAAGAATCTATCATGCATAATGATTATAAGGACTTTAGAATCATGCTAAAATATGATTAAAGATGTACGACATGAATTCAAGAAAATTTTCAAAAATATTTTCTTGAAAAATTTTGGTTTTGGCATACTTAATCAATTTTGAAATGTTTAAAAATTAGTCCAAAAGGTCATGAAATGATATGCATATCTCCCCCTTAATTTATGCATTGGATAACCATATAGAATCACTTAAGCATGTATAATAATCAATTTTAAGCCAAAAATTTATGTAAAAGCATAAAAATTCAATATTTTGAACTAAGCCATAGGGAATGCTATAAGTTCCTAACTCTCTCCTAAGTTTCCAAAATCTTTCTTTATCTAAAGGCTTTGTGAAAATATCATCTATTTGATGCAAAATATCAACATATTCTATAATTACATATTCCTTAAGGACATGATCTCTAATGAAAGGATGCTTAATTTCAATGTGTTTAGTTATAGAGTGTTGGATGAAATTCTTAGTGAGACAAATTGCACTAGTATTTTCACATTTAATTGGAATGGTACCAACATCAATTCCATAGTCTAAAAGTTGTTATTTCATCCATAAAACTTGTGCACAACAACTATCGACCGAAATGTATTTCGCCTCGGTGGTTGATAATGCAACACTATTTTGTTTCTTAGAAAACCATGAAATTAGCATATTTCCTAGGAATTGACATGTACCGGAGGTGATTTCTCTATCCAATTTGCAACCTCCAAAATCAGTATCCGAGAAGGCATGCAAGCTGAAGTTTGAATCTCTAGGATACCAAAGTCCTAAACTAGGAGTGTCTCTAAGGTATCTAAAGACATGTAAATGAGATTCCTTAGGACAAGATAGATATCTAGCACACAAGGAAACACTAAACATG